TAAGGTAGAAAAAGTACTTCCAATTAGCAAATAAACCTTTATTTAAAAGACAAAAAGCTTAGTACACATGTTGAAAGCTTGTATGGGTAATAAGTGTAGGATTGAAGAGGTATGGCAAGGTCTTGATTCTCAATCTTGGATACTAAACATAGGAAGAATAAAATGTATGAACTTTTAAATTTCAAGGTTAGATTTAAAAGGGTTGCTACTTGAACCAAATTCTATGATTGTGAGTTATAAATCTATGGAAAGACATAGATATAGATATAGATATATATATATATATATATAATTTCTATTACTTCAAGTAGGTAATACATGGAATTTTTAGAACAAGTAATGATTGAATTCTCGTAGTGACTATACTTCATTATAGGCTATGGTTTAAAATAATACTTATGGTTCAAATGGTATATTGTAGAAGAATATCATAGAAGGTAGGAACGTTGGATGACCCAATTTCAAATTTTCTTTAAAAAAATAACAAAAAAAAAGGACAAATGATCATATTAGTAAACACTAATTAAAAAATAATTATAATTAACAAATTAAATTACTACATTAATACAAATATTGTCGTTTTCTTATTGTTTAGAAAAATTAAGTTAATAAAAATGTCCAAGTGGGTTTCTTACTCAAATGACGAGGTCATATAGTAGATTGCATGTACATTGAACTTGGCTTACTAATGGAAGTACTTACTCAAATGACTAGGTCCATGGTACGTGGAACAACACAGGCCTTATAACCTCACAGTACACCATTTTTCTTAGTGTTTTTTTTCATACGAAGAACATGTACGATGATTATTATCTTTGACAGTGCAGAATATCATTTTTGTTATAGATTCTCTTGTATGTTGCTTTGACTTTCTTTCTCCTTTTATTACATTAGAAAAATTAGGGTTTTTCCACCGACAATTACATGATAAAGACGTCCATGTTCATGAAAAGAAAAACCCAAATTTGTTAATAATTTATATTAATACCCACAAATGCTTAATTTATTTACTAATCTATTTTTCACTTTATTTCAATACCCACATGATATATATATATATATATATATATATATGTGTGTGTGTGTTTGTTTATATGTAAATTTGAGAATTACGTAAAAAAAATATATATATAACTATATATTTTCTGTCGATTTCAATATTAATCATGACATGCTAATATATCCAAAAGATAATTGATTTGCGAACTTTGATAATTGATAATAAAGGGTTACAAAATTTGGAGATTTCAACATTTGTTTCCACGAAAATCATTAAACGTGCAAAATTAAATTAATTTTTTTTTAAAAAAAGAAATTGTCAAGAACAAATTAGTCCAACATGATTGAAAATTGTCAAGACAAAAATCAATCTCAGGATTATGTTTGCCAGCAATGTCTCATTGCTTAGAAGACCAAGTCTTGTCTCCATCATTGCTTAGAATATGTTCACACCATTGCCATACAAGGGTAGATGTTTACAAGGCTAGGTATTTGAATGAATCAAGCAATGACTTATCATATATTGAAATTAATTTAAAAAAATAATTAGATTTCTTTTACGTTTAGCTTATTTTAGATAATTTATTAAAATTATTATTCAAAAATTTAAGATAAAAATAAACGGTTCATTCTTATATCGTCTCAAACTCAAGCGTTATTGATCTAATGAGTTTTTGGAACTGAACTATTAGCCTTAAAAAAGTTTAAACTTACGATTTTGGTTGTACGTGATCAAAACATTTATACAAAACTCAACAATTACATCTATTCTGATGTGTGACTAGACTATTATATCTATTAGTCAATTTTTTTTTTTATTTATTTATTAAGTCTACGTATCACACAATTACAAATCAGAATGTCAAAGTTTACAAGGTTTAAGATTGTATTAGTTAAAGTCACCTATTTGACATATACGTGGTTTGATATACTAGTTATAATGACATGATTTAAACAATATTGATGCAATAATTATTTGGACTTAAACCACTTGATTTTTAAAAGTTTAATCTCAAGCTTTTGGTACTATATTACTTAAATCTTTATACAAAGTTTAACAATCGTATATCTTCTAAAAGTAAGATTGAAATGTTACAAAAGAATATAAATATTAGCATATCGTCAATATGCTCTTCGTGATAATTGGCTAATTAGAGGAGCATTTTTTCTTTTCTTCAAAAAATTCTTGAACCATTTAGCAGATTTCTTCGGATATCGCTTCAAATTATTTTTGTAATCAACATAGTAAACACCGAATCTAACAGAGTATCCGAGATTCCATTCGAAGTTATCCATTAAAGACCATGCAAAATAGCCTTTAAGGTCAACTCCATCATCACTACAAAACAAAACAAAATCCCATCAATATCTATTGTTTGTTATTCCATAAAATACAAAATGAGAAAGAAAATAGTAAAAGTCTTGAATAATTGAGAAAAGTTGAACTTACTAGATAGCTTTCAAAAGGTTTTGAAGATGTTTCTCATGATATTCTTTTCGTATAACATCGTTGAGAGCTTCCTTCAGAGGTAGTTGATCGATATTGAAATCATCATAACCTAAATAAATTTGTACGAAAAATAAATTAAAATGATTTTAATTATTTATAATGTGATTAATTAATTGCATTCATGTGAAATTCTAATTTCTATAAATAACTTACCATTCTCACTAATATAAATTGTTGGATTGTTGTAATTCTCCTTTGTATAATTTAGAATATACTGAATTCCTTCTGGATATACTAGAATATTATCGGATGCAGCCTGAATTATTTAAGAAAATTCGTTACACACACACACACATATATATACATTATAAATAAATAATACTTGTCCAAGTTAATTTAATCTTCATTATAATATGGCTAGTTATTATGATCTTGAACAACAAATAATTAATTTATAGGTACATATAGTACATATTATTATATAGATCAATCATTTAATATTCATATACATATATACCTGTGGACCAATAGGGATTCCATTCCGATCTTCTGCAAAAAAAAAGAAACAAATAAAATATATATAAATTATTCTTTAATGAATTGAAATTAAGATTATATCATGATTTTGTTTAGAACTTACTTTTATATTCAACACATTGATCGACTGTATATCTATATTCCTGTATATCATCTTGACGAGGAACATTGGCAGCATAAAGAGCACCATAATAATTTATTCCAACAAAATCATAAGAATTTTTAAGCATTTTGGATTGCTCTTCTGTAAAATGAGGCAATCGATCTCCAATATAACTTCTCATGCTATGTGGATAATCACCGTATGTTATAGGGTTCATATGCCTACACAAATAAAATAATAATATAAATTAAATTAGTTCTTTACATATATAAGTAAAGTATAAATAATTAAATATATAATTTTATTAAATTAAATTCTCTCACCAGCCAAACATAAAATCAAGGGCTCGTTTGGTTGCTTCCTTATCGACAAGAGAATCAGAGTGAGGTTCAAACCAGAAGGAGATAGTACTATCCCAATCTTCCCATTTTCTTGACACTGTCATTTTTCAAAATTAAATAATAAAAATCAGATATATAAATATATATATATATGAATGTGTAGTACATGGTTTATTTAGGTGTAATCTACTCCGACTTTATTTGTTTTACATATGTGTATGTGTGTATATATGTGTGTGTAACAGACCTTGTGACATTTTCTGAATTCTTCCACAGCTGCAGCATGAGCAAGAAGCAAATTATGTGAAACAATGTAGGGTTCAACACTCGAGTTCCCTGTTTGGCAAGCTTTATTAACCCATTTCGAACATCGTCCGGGTGCTTTTTTTCCTTTCTCGTAACCAGCAATACTATAAACCCAAGGCTCGTTAATAGTCGCCCAAAGTTTTACTTTGTCACCAAATTCTTCGAAGCAAATTCTTGCAAAGTCTCGAAAATCATCTCTGTAAATGAATTTTGTATTAATTAACATTAAAATGATATTTAACAAGTAGGAATTAATAACCTTTACTTACATGATTTGGGAGTTTAAAAAGCCACCGTATTCATCTTCTAAAGCTTGAGGAAGATCCCAATGAAAAAGTGTTACAAAAGGTTGCAGGCCTGTACATTTTGTTACATCATCATATTTAAAATGAGTGAGTTATATATGTTTAATTAAAATTTTGAGTTACCACCAATATATATATATATATATTGTGGGTAGATTATATTGCAGAATAAAAAATAGATTAGGCTCTTTCTTGTGTCAATCATTTAAACTGGTATTAATTTTTACTTTGTCTTAAATATAAATAGTTGAATCATGCATGATGTAGTGTGATAGAATATAAATAATTATTTAAAATAAGCTATTAACTAAATATTCATCGATATACATATATGTGTTTTGATTTAATAGATATATATACACATGGATGTTTATATCTATTAGCTAAGAAAATGGTTGACTGACCATTTGCTAAAAGCTCGTCAATAAGGTTCCTGTAGAATTTGACGCCTTCCTTGTTTACTCCTCCACTTAGTCGTCGACCTGTATTTCCAGCCATTTAATTTACAAGAAAAAAGACTCGTTAAGATTTTTATAAATTTGAGAAGTTACAAAATTATATATACATATATATATATATATCTATATTATGTACTTACGGGGTAATATTCTGGACCATGAGATGGATAGTCTGAAAGCATCCATGTTTATTTCCTTCATTAATTTGATATCTTCCTGTAACAACTTTTAAATTGTGAGTATAAAAAATAATTTGTTTTCTTAAGAAGATTTATAAATAATGTTGTTTATATATATATATATTATATTATATTATACGAGAATATATAATTAAATTAAGTCTAACACCTTATAACGATGGTAGAAATCAAGTGCTACATCTCCGTTGCTCATGTTGTTTCTCTCTGCAATTAATTTAACAAGATCAGAAAAATCAAAAAATAAAAAAAGCTCCAATCTCGTGAATGTATATATAATTATATATGAGTTTAGTCCGATATTCAATTAGAAAATATAATTATTTTTTTGAAATACATCACGATTCAATATGATTGAAGTTGATTTATTTATCCAATTTCTAAAACACACAAATAAATATAAAAATTTTAACATTAATCTACCTTATTGGTGGCATAAATATATATATATATATTATTACTAGTATATATTTATATATATATATATATGGAATTAACTTGTACGAACACATGCATGTACATGTATGTAGCTATTGTAAGCTTGTGTCTCAATCTCATTAATGTAGCATGCGCACGCGTGTATATATATATATATATATATGTATATATCATACATATATGTATTGCATGTAAGTACAAAAGATAAAAAGTAGAGAAACTGACCTGGATATGCGCGAGTAAAAGTATCCCATATACTGGGTTCTCTACCTCCTTCATTTATTGCACCTTCGTACTGATCAAATCAAGATTCAACGAATTATATACAAATCGTATCAATTTTAACATCTTTAAATTAAAAGTTAAACTTGATACGTTTCTGGGTATATATATATATATATATATATTTGTAAATACCTGATAAGAGGAGGAGGCAGTGCCAAATATAAAACCGTCGGGAAAACTATATCGATTAAAGGAGTTTAAAGAGCTGCTACGGCCTGATTCAACAATGGCCGCCAACAAACTTAAAAGAACAAGTAAGCCTGGGATTAAAAGAGAAGAACGTTGCATGGCCATGATACGCACACCCATGTATATATACACTTTGAGAAGTAGAAACTTATAGAAGAAGCAGCGGCTGGGTTGATATATAAATGCTTATATATATATATATATGTATATGAATATACGTGGTTGATTTAAAGGGTTTATGTATGTATATGTTTGGAGAAGAATGGGTTGATACAGAAATGGTTATACTTGTATAGATATAGTTTAACTTGAAGGGTTTATACAGATGCTTATATAAGATGGTAGACAATAGATTGCGTGGGGAAAGATGCATATAGACGGACATGGATGTGTATTGTCATCCCAATCTAAAGGTGAAAGAAAGTCACTAATTTGAATAGAGCACGACGCTTGAATAATTAGAATATACACTTAGTTGGCTCGTGATGATTTGGCGTAATTAGAACCAGTCAATTTAATATTATTATAATAAGATCAATTTTGAGATTATCTACTTTTTCCTTTTCTTTTTTTTTTGTTTTTTAATTTTGGGAGAATATCTAATTAAGTTAATTAATAGACAATTAATTCTCGTATTAATTAATTAAGTTAATTATCGTATGCATTAATGCCATGTATTAGCTTTTTTAAGCAGGAAAAAAGAACGTGTATCTTAGGATATATGCAATTAATTGTAAACATAGTATATTAACTAAGTTGCCTTTCATTTTCTCTTTAGAAAAAGTTAGTTTCCTTCTCAACTATCTAACACATATATACCGACATATATATATATATATATATATTATTTAATTACATTTTTTTATTTTAATTAATTATTTTCTCTTTTTTTTTTTCCTTTTCTCTACTATTGAGGAAGTTCAATCGTTAAATTATTGTTATAATAGTCCCGAAAATTTAAATGAAATGTATGTATTAAAAATCTCAAATGCAGAAACGTAATAAAAATTTTGATTAATATTCCTTACACAATAATCAAAACGTATTCAAAACATGAAGGAACAAACTAACTAAAAGAGATACTCGAAATAAGAACTATAAATATAACTATGAAGTCTTTAGGCGCCCCATTCGCCGTCTTCCTGCGGAACGGGCTCGGGAACAATGTCTTTCTTATTTAAAATGCTTAAATAAGGAATGAGATACACCAGCCCAATAAAAACATCACACTATCTCACCGCCACAGAAATAAAGGTGGGTAGAAAATAAAAATGACCAATGGAGCATAATTTACAAAAAACTCGTTTATGAACATAAAAACTTTTACCATCCACTTACCTCGGTGAGATCCATAAAAATAACATATGAAAGCAATAACATTATCATAATCATGAAATCATATAGACTTTATAACATAACATTTACCACGCCTTTGCATTTCAATCATTAAACCACATATTTTCCTCTTTTCACAGCCTATTAGTATCCATGGGGATCCATAGGGGATCCCCGCTGCCCGTGAACTATTAATATTAATAACATGATTCCAAGGTTGTCCCCATACCCCGTCCAGTATGGGCGTCAAAATCATAAACCTCCATACCCCGTCCGGCATGAGGGTGAAACGGACCGTCCCCATACCCAGTCCGATATGAGTGCCAAAACACATAAGGTCTTCATACCCCGTCCAGTATGGAGACCACGTTCCCGGTAGGGTTCCCTACAGACCCGGTCCGTCCACCATCTCCCAGAATATCTAGTTAGGCTGTCCACATTATCCATCTTACCTTTTTTTTTTTATCTCAATCATCTAATCATACACAACATGTAAACTAATAATTGACACCAAACAAAACAACACAGTATCGTGTTAACCGTAATAAAAAAAATCATGATTCATGCATACGAGACCATAAAATAAATACATCAGACATCATACTGCATTTAATACTGAAAAATAGATCAAACAACAACTGACCAACGATGTATCAGATTCGGGTACCATTGGCAACCTCAATCAATTATATATATCTATAAAGTCACAAAATACCGTTTAATTATTTATTAAGCTTTAATGCCGTGATAGGAGGTAGGGTGAGAGATCCTTACTTGTTTTGGGGTCTGAAATCGACTCTATAGTGCGCCTACGGGCTGTCCCTAATTTTCCTGAATTTTTTCCGAAAAACTAAAACGCACTACCGGTACCTGCACGTGTCCCAAAAAATCTCAAATCATACCTAGGGCCCCTTTCGGCCAATATCAGAATTCCTGCACGGCGGCTCCGCCGTGCTCTAGCGACGGCGCCGCTGCCTGCGGCTGCGATCCGCCTCGAGTTGGCCGTTTTCGGCCAAACTTGCATCGGTCCCTGTGATAAAACAACCCTAGCGCCCTCGGTGGGCCAAAAAAAATCACGAAAAACCGAGACTTACCGGCGGCGGTGCTCTCGGGTGCGGCAACTCCTCTAGTGTGAGTTGCGTTTTGATATTTGGCTCCGATCAACCTGTAGAGAAAAGAACGGTGATCACAGTAGTATAAAATTTGCATCGAACGGAGACCGGGAAGGGCCTCATCGGAGGCAAAAACAGAAGAGAGTCGCAGCGGCGCTGCCGGACTTCGGAGGAGTTTTTCGGCCGTTTGGCCGGTGGTTTGGCTCTGGTTTGGCCATAAGCGGATTCAGCATCGAAAAACAAGCCAGAGAGAGAAAATTTACCTCGATTGGCGGTCGGAAACTTCTCCGGTGCGGTGGCGGGTGGCGGCGGCCGGCTCCTCCGGCGTCTGGTTCTTCTTCTCCGACGAGGCACTGGCGGCTAGGGTTTTGTGGTCAGGTGTGGGTAGAGTTATTTATACCCTTTTTCTTTTAATCTCAACCGTCCATCAAGATTAAATCTGGACCGTCCGATCGCGATTTAATTGGGATTAAATCTGGGCCGTCCATCACGATGCAATCTGGGTCGTCCGTACCTGATTGAATCTGGGCCGTCTGTGCGCACGTTTGATCTGGGCTGTCCATGTGCGCGGGAACAGAGCTGGGCCGTCCGATCGCGCGCACGCGGATCGCCCATGTGGCCCGTCCCGTGTCAGTGTTTCCTTGCCACGCGGCGTGTTCTGGTTAGCCGGGGCTGCTGACCGAGCTGCTGACGTGGCTGCTGACGTGGCACAATTTTTCTAAATTGTATTTTGACCCCCGGTTTCCGATTTTCTTTTCAAAAGCAACCCCAGAATCTAAATTTTCACCACTTTTTCCCAAAATCAATTTCAATTAAATTCAAATAATATTTTTATCCAATTTTATCATTATTATTATTTTTATTTTCATTAAATTAAATTAAATTAAATTAAATTAAATAGAAATCTAAAAAATTCAAATACAAAAAATAAAAAGTAAAAAAATAAAAAAAATTAATATAAAAAAATATATTTTGGGTGTTACAGTTGTCACCGAAGATTGTTCACTTTGAACATAATTAAGACCTTTTAATATCCTTCTTATTCGAACAACTTGACAAGCACATGAAGCTACCGCAACAAACTCAGCTTCTGTATTAGACAAGTGACAATTGGGTTTTTTTTTTTTTCATGACCAAGGAAACAGCTCCTTAACTCAACAAAAATAAAAAAAACAAGACGTACTCCTCCTGTCATTTAAATCTTATTGCGTAATCATCGTCCGTGTAGACGAACAAATCTCTCATCTCCTCCCTTTTTATATAGTATCCCAAAATCTAATTTTTTTTATATATCGTAACACTCTATTGACTAATTGAAAATAAAGCTCAATGGGATGATCCATGTATCTGCTCAAAGAGGCTTACAACAAACATAATGTCTGGTCAAGTAGCTGTGAAATACATTAAGCTACCTATTATTTGCTTATAATAACAATTATACACCCCTACTCCATCCTTATCACGAATCAGTTTACAACCTAGAACAATTGGATTATGAACTGAGTTGCATTTATCCATATCAAACCTTTTTAGTACCTGCTGTGTGTATCTCATCTAACAAATAAAAATATTTTCTAACCTCTACAACATTTCTATGTCAAGAAAATGCCTCATTTCTTCAAGGTCCATCATGTCGAATTCATTCATCATTAATGACTTGAATTTCAAAAACACATGTTCATCATTGCCTGTAAATATCAAGTCATCAACATATAGATAAGTAATTCAAGTTTTATCTCCTTCTCCTCTTTTAATGAATAAAATATGCTCATAGAGATATCATTCAAAACCTTTCTTAGTAAATCTTTCTTTTCATAACCAGGAGATTGCTCAATAAAAACTTCCTCACTAAGCTTACCATGGAGAAAAATAAACTTTACATCTAACTGAAAAATTAGCCTCGCTTTATGAGCTGCAAGAGAGATCACTATTCGAACTGTCTCCAAACGTGTTACAGGTGCAAAAACTTTTGTATAATCTGTCATATTTTTTACTGTAGCCCGTTGCAACCAAACAAGATTTGTACTTCTCCACTTCACCATTTTCATTGAACTTCGTTTTATATACCCATTTTACACTGACCGTTTTTGTCATAGTAGGTAAATTTGTCAATTCTCAAGTATCATTTTTTTTAATTATTGCTTCAATTTTCATATCCATTGTTGCTCTCCAATGCGCATCTTTTACTGCATCTTCAAAAAAAATTAGATCATTCATTGCAATCTTTTTCTGGAGTTCTGTTTTTCACTACAAGCATTGGACTTCTATTAAGAATGTGAATTAACTAGTTTACAACTTCTGGCCAGAAAATTTTGGAAATTTTCTTTCCTGGTAACATACTTCAAATCATATTTATGATAGTTCGATTCTTTCTTTCCGCAACACCATTATTGTTGAGGACTATATGCAGCTATTAGTTGTCTTCAGTACCATTCTCATTGTAAAAGTTAGTGAATTCAGGTGAGGTAAACTCACCCCCATGATCAGTACGAATATACTTTATGATTAAATTTGTCTCTTTTTCAACATAAATTTTATATTTTTAAAAAATAATAAAAGCTTTTGATTTTTTCAGCTAAGAAATAAATCCAAATTTTACAACTATAGTCATCAATAAAACTAATCATATTCCTTTTGTTGCTATTGAATGTAAGATTAATTGGCTCACATATATCAGCATGTACCAATTCAAGAATTTAAGAAGCTCTCAAAATGCCTTCCTTAGAAAATGGATCTCTATGTTGTTTTCCCACCAAATAATCTTACATATATTCATAGGAGTTTCAAAACAAGGCAGTCCTTTCACCATTCCCTTTTGTTGGAGAAGTTTCAAATCACTGAAGCTTAGATGACCATATCTACAATGCCAAAGTTGAGTTGGATCTTCTGTGAAAGAATTAAAGCAAGCTTCCTCCTTCAATTGTATTTGAGCAAACAATTTAAACATTCTATTTGAAGATATTTTGACCTCCATAATTAAGCCTTTCTCTGGATGATAGATTTTGTATGTTCCTTATTGTATAAGGATTGCAAGTCCCTACTCAAGTAATTGACCAATACTTATTAGGTTCTTCTTTAATTCTAGAACATAAAATACACCTGTAATCACTAGTATAAGACCATTTACCAACATTCTCACATTATCTTAACCCATCACGTCTATACTCGATTTATCTCCTAGTTTCATTTTCTCCTTGAAATTTTCATCAAAATTCGAGAAAAGTCCTTCTTACCACACATGTGATTATTACATCCACAATCAAGAAACCATAGTTCTTCTTTACTAATTTTTTTATTGTTTGTGTACGTCATTAACAACATCTCTTCACTATCTTCCACATAGTTTGCTCTTACTTCTATCTCCTTCTTTGGACATTCATATTGAAATTGTCTAAGTTTATGACAATTATAACATTCAACTGTGGCTTTGCTGAAACTGCATCTGCCTCTTCTTCCACGACCTCACATTCCACCACGACCTCGACCTTATCGTCTTTCTCTCGAAGACTCTCTAACAATGACCTTTAATGCTTGCTCTTCCATAGGATGAGTCTTTATACATCGCTCATGCACTAACAAACTACTCTGTAACTCATCAATAGTAAGGACATCCAAATCATTTGATTCCTCAATAGAGCACACCATGTAATCATAGTTGGATGTCATGAATCTCAAAATCTTTTCAATGATAGTTGCATCATCCATATTCCCTTTATTAGCTCTCAATTGTTAACCACAGTAAGAGTACGGGCAAAATACTCATTTACATATTCTCCCTCCTTCATATTCAGCATCTCAAATTCCTTCTAAAGAGTCTGTCGTTGTGCTCGTTAAACTCATGTTGTCCCTTGATATTTCTGCTTTAAAGAATCTCAAATGCTTTTGGATATATCTTTGTTTAAAATGGTTTCCAAGATTGGTCGATATATAGCCTGGAAGAGATAATTTTTTACTTTTACATTTTTCAACTTTGCATCATCAATCACCTTTTTTTGTGCTTTAGTGAATTGAACTCCTTCTGTTATTGTAGGAATTCCATCTTCCACAATATCCCAATATTCCTTTGATTGCAGGGAATTCTCCATAAGCATACACTAGTGATCATAATGTTCATCAAGTTTTGGTATTGTTGGTTACACAAATCCACCATCTGTTGCTATATTTTCTTTGCCAAACTCTAAGAAGATTGCTACTTAATTTCAACGAGGCCAAAACGATGTGGCTCTAATACTAAGTGTTAAAACGTTCTGTTTAACACTAATAAACTGAAAACTTGAGAAAAAAGCTTACTCCATTTAAATACTAACTTGGCTATATATATAGCCTTACAAAAGAGATTAAGTTGCAGTCATGTTTTACACATTTACTAACATATCAAAAGAATATGAAAACAGATAAATAATTCCAAAAAAATAAGATTTATTCAAATCACTAATAGATATTATCTTTTTACTCATTCAAATAACTAATTTTCGCAACAATGAGATTCCTCTTGAAGCTAAGGTTCACAAATATATCTAACACTTATTATTATTTCTAGACATATAGGTATACTTACTCAATGTAGTTTTTGAGAAAAGAGCACTCATCAATAAGATACCAAAGATGATGATTTGTCCTTGTTAAGAGGGTATATGGCTTTCTAAGTGTCATTTAAATGATAATTAAGTTAATTTTTTTTATACAACAAGATTACTTTCGTCATACATTACTATCAATTCAATATTAAGAGAGTTTAAGCTTCATATTTTTGTAAGAACCTTTGATTCATTTACCATACTAATTATATGAGAATTTCCAATGTTAGTTCTTTCAGTATTCTTATAGAAATACCATATGAGGATATATTTGGCTACCTGTAAAAGTAAAGCTCATGGCCAATCCATAATTGCTAATAATTAATCGACAAAAAAACTAGGGGCTAAGAGGTCTTATCCCTTATTTTATAATAGACATGAACTTTTTTTTTTTCATTAGTTTTTATCATCTTGATTAGAAAAGGCTAAGGAATCGTAAGGGGATGAGTCTCTCTCAAATAATACAAATCTTATCATATTCATGTAGAAGGTGAATAATAGACTTACTAGGGTAAAAAACACAAATTATGCACTGATTGTCCTTTCTAATTTATCCATAGGCAAACACAACATGTAAGGCAAAAGAAGACCCTTTATATCCATGTATCTAATTGAAAATTTTACAGGCAAATCATCATGAGAATCGTCATCCTTTTCATATCTCTAACTAAATTTGACTAGCTTATCAAATCCCCTTGGGAGAGGAATGGTCTCAATAATGTCCTTGATGTTCTTCGAAATAAAGGACCAAAAATGATATAAATACTATTAATTTTCAACAATTAGGGTACTGACTTTTAGATCCTCCTTGTTCTCATGACCTATGACACTTTAAAATAACTATAAGTTTGCTCTTGATCTAAGTATTAAACTAAATGGATGCCTTATTCTTATTCCCAATTATCTACTTGATTCCACAGTTGATAATCTTATGAGTGTCAAGAATACCGATCTAGAGACAGAGAGAGACTTGATGTTGGGTTGTAATCGTACTAAATTCTAACCTTTAAGATATTTATCAGCAAACGTCTTGATCCAAAAAACTTTGAACTACTAATAAGATTCCACCAATTTTAGTAATCATAAGTATACTATTTTATGTATATATATATA